GGAATAGCCATAATCAAAAACATGAAGACCACAATCTGAGTGACTAGACAGCTTCGTTGAGTTGGATTTCCTACTGAGGGATTTGAACCAACACAACTGATTGGTAGTTATAGCTTAAGAGACATTTCTCCTTCAGTTCTTTCAGATAATAATAATTTTGTTGTTTTTATTGCCCTTATTATCCTAAAAGAGAATAATAATTAAATATCTTAATAATAATAATAACGATATTGAAAATATTAACAATCATTAGAATGTAAGCAAAGTCATTCAAAGTGGTTTGAAAAGCTCCATTAAAGAGTCAGAATTGTTCACAGTGGTGGTGATAGGAACCAGACATCTGAAGTGTTTGATCCCTCTAAAAGCTCCTTCACAGAATATTATTACATGAAATAGTTATGAATGCCCTGCTTGATGCCTGAAGCATAGTTTTAAGAGAATTTTAAAAAGGTTTTTGGCCTAAAACTTATTCTTAAAATTTATTCATGATTATAGGAGAGGTATGTGCAGGGTGTTGTAAGGCAAAGTAGTCCTGTAATGACCCCACAACCCCTCACCCCATGTTTTTTACATTTCTTTTCCTCCCCTGATTTACCACAATTTACCATCACCAACATTAAATGTAAAAACTCAGAAGACTCATGTAGGTTCACTGGTGGTTTTGGTGGTAAATCAAATGGCTATATTTGTGTTGTAGACATGATGACCCCTGGTTCCCATCACCACCACTGTAAAGAAATGAATCTACAATGAACCATTTCAGATCAAACCACTCTGAATGACTTTGTTTACATTTCTACCATTGAATTATAAATTGGGGTCATACTGTTATGCACATTTTAAATAAGACTATTTATCATTATTTTTACTAATAGGCTCAGTTTTATAATAATAAATAACAATTTTGTCATCTATAGAATTTATTACAATAATATTAAATCTTAATCTCAACATCTGTACAAATCCAATATTGTTTTAGATAAATATCTGCAGATACCAATATGATTCCAATATAATCATGCGTCCCTAAATTATCATGCACCCCCCAGTCAAATCATGATTTGTTGATTTTCTAAGTGAAAATAAATTAACACATCCTCAGAGAGCACACTTGAATATGACACATGCACGTTAGCGCACAATTTCTGTGTATTTCTGTACATTTAAGTTTAGCATATTGAAAAAAAATAAAACATAAAATATAAAATGTGCCGCAACTTTGTTTTCATCTCTTTCCCCAATATTTTAAATTCAACAAATAAACAATTACTGTGCATTATAATGTGCAGAGGTGTGTCTCTGTAGAGGACATGTAACTTATTTTCACTTAGAAAATCAACAAAACATGTAACATCACCAGGGGTGCGCAGTCTTTTGCATACGACTGGAGACGTCTTGATAGTGAGGGGCGTTTTTGCTCTCTTTCTCAGCTTCTGGTATTTAAGAAAGCCACAAACAGCCTCTTGATTCTACCAAATAAGTAAGGAAGACAGAATGCAAGAGAATGATCCCAGATTAGAATGACATAAGACAGGCAGCCTGCTGGCAGAGATGGGTGGTAAAATGCTGGTGGGTGAAAATGTATGGAAACTTCCAGTCTCTTCTTAAGAGGTCATGCTATTGCATTCATTTTCATCTCATTACCAAACCCATGGATTTGTTATTAAGTAGCTCATCCATCAATGCTGGGCAACAGGGTCCAAAAGGTTAACTAGGATGAATTCTCTTTGGGTAGGAAAATACCTATGATAAATCGTGTGGACTCTGTAGAATTCACCTTTGAATTAATGACTGGTATTTATCATCTCAGGAGGGGAAAAAGAACGCAAGCAGGCGCTGGGTCTGTTCGGGCAGGTTGGTCTCTCCGCTCAAGTCGAACCAAAGAATCTATAAGCAATGCATTAGCTTATTCTAAACGAAGGCCTGGGCCAGGCCACTGCGGCTCTATGCAGATAATTTGTGGGCGCTTTGCAGTAGGAGAAAAAAACCCTATTGTATCAGCCTCAGTCTGCTCAGAGGTTCTTATTGGTTTAAGTGCTTCTAGAGGAGTGCTTCAGTGGTTTAAGCGCTTCGGTGGATCAACATGTGGTCGCTAAAAAGCTGGGAGACGGAAAAATTGCCGCGAGCCGGGACTACAGCGTGTCGAGGATGAGAGGAAGCGTTTAAGAACGTGGCTTTGAAGCGGCAGACTGTGTGCAGATTCCCGCCTTCGGTTCGGCTCCCTGCCCCGCTGCTGTGCTTGTCTGGCGGGTAATTTATCACCGAATATTGCCTGATTAAGGAAAATTAAAGCGGGCTGCTTTGGGCTTGCTAATTGCTTAGATAAGTTCAAGCTGTTGGCCTCTAGGAGGACTTTTGCTTGTTTGGGCTGGGGGGGAGAAAAACAAGGACATCTCAAGCAGGCAGGGGTAATCTGAATTAATGCTGCAGTGTTTTGCTTTCTTCTTGGCTTCTAAGGCCTGAAAACTAGCCCGGAAAGGCTGCCTCTCAGTGTAATTGCGCTTGTGTAACAGTCCAAAGTCACATGACTTCTCACTCAGGATCCTGTCATGAAGGTACAATCACAACAGCAGCGTCGCATTTATGTAGACCATAGGTGTCCAGTCTTATCTGAAAAATTGCCGGTACGGCTGCTGGTTTTCATCGCAACATTGCAGAAGCACAGATGATCAGTTGTTTAAAGACTGATCAGTTTATTAAAGAACTAGAATCGAGTGCGCTCCTGATAGTGTGGAATGACAACCTGCAGCCTTACTGGCCCTTTGCGGATAAGACTGGACACTCCTGACATAGACCGGGAGTGTCTCTTTCTTTGTACTGATCACTTTTTATATAACAGGGTCCAGAAAGCACCCATGTCCTGTTTCTTTGCTAGTAGTCTAGGGCTGGCCGAAATAGTTCAAATACTCAAGTATTCTTTTCGTTAGGCTTCGTTTGTTGTTAAGCATTCGGAAGCTTCATCTGCAAAGGCCTTCAGATAAAATAGTTGTTTACAGTTGTTTACATTTTCCACATATTAACAACTGTTAAGTTGCAGATGGTTTTGTTGAATACATTATACATTCGTGCCAGGCGTCCACATCACTTCGCCTCAGAGTGCAACAAACTGCACCACTTCCACATGGCTGTAAAAGTTGCCTCCGAAATCATATCTGCATAATGTGTTATTTAAGGGCACCAGGTGTACCCAGTCAGTCCTGCGATTTGAACCTGCAACCTTCTGGTTGCCAGTGCGCTGCTCCTACCATGGAGTCACTACAAGTTTGATGAATCTTATCAAATATGTAAGTATCATGATTCTTATCCGAGTACAGCCATGAATCCAATCCACACTGCCTCTAACTGGGCTCTGTCACATACTTGCCTCACTTTACTCGAACTCGGCTACATGACGTTGGCATAACCATGGTGTAAATATTTAATTGCGGATTTCGTGCAGTAATATGTGTGTCGTGTTTCCATTACTAGTAATTGTCAGGACAGATACCTTAATGTTTGATGTCATAACAGTTTATGTCACATGCTAATTTTCGCTGTGTACACTAGTTAGCAGTCATGTCATCAAACGCTGTGACTTCTGTCATGACAATATATGGTAATAGTAACTTGATGCTGTTTTGTTACTGGACATAGGAGTTTCATAAGTTGTCATCTACCATGACATGTTTTTAGCACAGATATGTAGTGTGATGTCAGCTGTCATGTCAGTAAACATTATGACACCCGTCATGACAGTTACTGGTAATGGTAACATGACACACATGACAGCATAGGAGATCTGCAATGACATGTTTATGGCATGGTTTTGTCATATTTATATAACCTGCTTATGTCAATATTATGTAACATTTGTACAGCAGTTTTAAACTTGACAGCACAGACAGCAGATAAAAAGCTTTAGAGAAGCATCTCCTCCTAATGCTGTTAGTACAGCACAGGAGCTGCTCTGCTATTACCACACCAACTAGATCATCACATTTAAGTTAATTATTATATTAAATATAGTTTATAACACTATGAAGTTTATGCTTTACTTGTGAGCAAATGGGGGGAAAACAGTCTTACGTTAGTTTAGCACAGCTGATGTGGACTAAAACATTGATTAAAATGGAAGCGTATCTGTTTAGTCAGGGAGACAACTCTTTTTTTAAGGGTGTTTTTGAGAAATGCTCTCAGGTATTTGTTTGGAAACATCAACGAGTATTCAAATCTGTTCAGGCCAGCCCTTTATTAGTCCTTTACTTTAAGAAAGCCTTCCACCTTTTTCCCTTGACCTTTTGACCTGCCTTCTATCAAATGACCAAATCTAAATCAACAGTACTTAATAAAGAAGCTTAATACCAATTCCATTATTCTTGATTTAAAGCCTTTATCACCAGAATCCTCCAACAATCTCCAGCACTAAAGAGGGAAAAAAAAAATGCCACTAAATATAAATGAAGTCCAGGATAACAAATGAAGGAGCATCAGAGTAGAGCTGTATTCATATTTGAAGATGTTGCTCTGTATGAGCTGTGCTGTGCTAGGCAGCAGGCCTACCGTCGCTGTAAGGAGCCCACCAAAGCTCTTCAACTGAGGCGGAAAAAAAACGCATCCCTTCTTGTAGCGATCGGCCTGGGCGTAATAGCGTGAACTAATCCTAACTGAGGAGCCTCCATGGTTTTGAATGCGTCCGTAAACCAGCAGCAATAAATAGATGATGCGGCCTTCGACAAACAGCTTATCAGCAGCTCTCGCTGAGTCGCGAAGTCTAGAAACTTTTGTGTTTGAGCAGCATAAGCAAGAAATAAAACTAAGGTGAAACCACTATAGAAACAAACAGCGCCTTCAGACGTTTCCTCCGACACTGCCAGGGTTTAAAGTGTATTTGTATTTCTCAGTGTGTCTCAGCAGCCTCAGTTTGCCAAACATATTGTGCTCCTGCCAGTCCCAAGGTGGGTCACCCCGGTGGTGGACGGCGCCGTCGCTCGCATGCACCTCCTCTCTATTCCAGAGGGGGTTTCTATGATGACGCCTGGCCGTTGAGGCACTCCCGCCGCAAGCACTGTGCAGGCTTCCACCAGTCTCCGTTGTGGCAGCGGCAGATGGTGCAGTCGTCCACCTTCACTTCAATGCCGGCTGGAATGATCGTCGTTCCGGCGTAACAATTTGGACCTGTCGCAGGGGACAGAGAGGAGGGGGGTAGAGAGTTAGACTTAGAGAGATAGTAATGAGAGGGAGCTCTCGAGAGGATCTTTTGGAGGGGATGGCGCAGCGGCTCGAGACACCCAGGGGAGTTCTGAAGCCAGAACAGACGCACACATCTCTTTCACGGGCACGCACCGATGGGCTTGTTTTTCAGCATTAAAGCTCTTTTTTTCTGCTCTTTTTTTCTCTCTTGTGGTCTCTCTCTCTCTCTCTGTCCTTTTTCATTTATTCTCTCTCTCTCCTTTTCTCCTTCTCTCATTCCTTTTCTGTCTTGCTCTCTCCCTCCTCTCTCTCTGTTTTCTTCTTTTTCTCTTCTTTCTCTCACTCTCTTGATCTCTTTTATTTTTCCTTTCTGTTTCACACTTTCACTCTCTCTCCCACCCCGTCTCTCCTACCCTCTCTCTCTCTGTGTCTGTACAGAAATGCTTTGCATTCTAATGTGCTCTAAGCTCAGGAGGCTGGCAGGCGGCCTTGCTGGCAGCGCACACATATACACATATTCCGAGCTCTGTCTCCGCTCTCTGTCCCGTCTGCTGGAGTCTCGCTGGCTCTTTTTGCAACACTAAAGCTTTCTCCTTCTTCTTTCCCGCTCCCTTATTTTCTTTTCTGTCTGTTTTCTTTCTTCTGCTACTCTTGTTTCTCTCCTTCCATTACAAACACAAACCTCTGTTTGTTTCAGGGACATTTCAGAGGAGGTACTGTTGGGCGCCTAACCAGACAACAAATTAGTCAGAGCATTTCTTTCAAGCCAGCTCATTATTTTAATCGTCTTTTTTTTTGTATTATTATTCAGGGAAAGGAAGGTCAATAGATTTGTAGATCACAATTCTCTCTTGAACGATTCTGAATTGATTTACAAAACATCATAATCAGACTTTTATGCAGTTTTCCCTACAGTAATGAAAAACTCACATGCATGTTACCCTGCAGGGCACTGTGGCAGGGATATGGCTCTTTGGTACTATGAGCTATCCTGTTTACAATAGGTCGTACAAAAAATATCTTTTAAATTAAATCTGTTAGATGATGAAACAGGTATATAGACTTAACAAGTGTAGAGCTTAGGCTACATTCATAGTCAAGAAAACTAACGGTACTTGTTAATGAGAATTACAAGGGGGAAAAAAATCAATATAGGCTTTATAAATGAAAAATCAAGATACATCAAGAATTGTTTTATAATCACACCTTGATTCATGAATTAAATAGAGCCTAGGGATTCCAACCTCTATTTATCCTATATTCCTAATTGTGTTACTACTATGCTTGTTTGTGCAATTACAGTGAAGCACCAAACTGCATAAAAAGCGCTATATAAATAAAACACTATTATTCTTATTATTCCTCTTATTATTAGTAGTAGTAGTGATAATGCTACTACTGGGGCAGTCATGGGCTGGAGGTTAGGGAACCAGCCCTGTGACCGGAAGGTTGCCGGTTCAATCCCCTGAGCAACAACAGTATGTGACTGAAGTGCCTTTGAGCAAGGCACCCAACCCCCAAGTGCTCCCCAGGAGCCACAGATAGGGCTGCCCACCAATCCGGGCAAATGTGCTCATTGGCCCCTAGTGTGTGTGTGTTCACCAGTGTGTATGTGGTGTTTTACTGCACAGATGGGTTAAATGCGGAGGTGAAATTTCCCCATTGTGGGACTAATAAAGGGTCACTTAATAGTGGTGAGGAGTAGTAGTGAGCGGTAGTAATATTTACATGGTAGTCTTTACATAATCTAAATAATTGTGGTGTTTGTCTTATAGGAAAATATCAATTCTTGTTTGATAAGATGTATATCATTATTACAAATGTAGAAATGTTCAGAATGGTACTGCAATGCAAATATATTTAACCAGCTTCCTAGTATTAGGATTCGAAACAAAGAACTCTCAGCATGCTTGTGCAAGTGCTATGCAATTCATTATTGCTGGGCTCTAAAGAAAAGACCCAAACCTGATGAAATTTGTGGTTTGTTCTGCATAAATCTGAATTAAATAGAGCGGTAAACTCAGTTGCATATGAAATATTCATTCAGACATGCCATTTTTAAGTTTGCAGGTTGAGTCTGTTGGTGTCTGTGTTTGGAGATTGTTGTGATCACTGTTAGCAAATAAGCCTCACTGATTACTGATGACAGACTGTCTAAATGATATGTCTCTTGATCAATGAATACACAACAGAGGACAAAGGAGGTGATAGAGTGGTTCAAGTTGAATTCTCTGTTGAATATTGAGTGGCTGTGTGGAGCATCCATGCTGAGCACTGTTAAAAAAAAAATAATAATAATAATAAGTCTTGGGTTCTGACTGTTCAGGCCTTAAAGCTGCATTACAGGGCCAGTCCAAGTTCAAAATACAACCAGAACAAAAAAATCGGCTAACTGGCAAAATCTAAATGTGTTTGTTTATATCCAGTTAGCCTAAAATGTTAATGACTTTATAACCACAATAGACTAGCTTATTGTGGTTGGTATAACATAGGGGGTAACAGCACACATGGGCCACACATTTACATGATTTTTTGGGGGGGCTTTTCAGCCATGCTACTAACATTACATTTGTGGGCTAACGACAGATTTGTTGTCTGTCTGACAGTGTTGACAAGTGCACTACTTTGAGCTCCGCCTTCGCAAAGCATTGGATTGTTTTAGAAATGTCACACACTGTTTATTCCCACACTAATAAATTTACTTTCCCCTCCCACATTTAGCCCAGAAACTCTCATGGTTGTCCCAAGATGTTCTTGTTACGAGATCAATCTTGGCCTCATGAGACTAATTTAGGCACTATACATTTCAGAACTTATAGATATGGACTGCACACTGTATGTACTACCCTGAACCTTTATCCACATAATGGAGGCCAGTGCTTCCCAACCCCGGTCCTGGAGTAACCCAGCTCTGCACAGTTTAGTGTTTTCCCTGCACCAACATCCAGCAAACCCATTCAAAGAGGGTAGAAAAGGAGCTGCTTGCATGGCACAGTCCATTGACTGTATGTAGTTTCTTTAGTTCTTCCAGATTTGGACTTGTATTCTTCCCACTCTTGGGCAGCAATATTGGTATGCATAACATATTTGTGTGATTAACTGCGCATGAAAATGCATATTGTTTGTATATGCCATACAGCAGCAGTCATCAAGCCTCCTCTTACAGATCCACCATCCTGCAGAGTTCAGTTCCAACCCATATCTTAAACCTGATCCATATAATGATAATAATGATAATAATAATAATAATAATAATAACAAAAATGCTTTTTATTTATAATGCATCTTTCATTTAGGTGCATTATAAATAAAATCTCAAGGTCATACAAAGGTAAATTCAGTAGAATGATAAAGGAGTAACATTTAGAAAAGACAGTACAAAATAGAGTGAATAATAATAACAGCAATATAATCAGGGTCTTATTATGAGAGTGATTAGTTGGATCAGCTGTAGCAGAGTAAAGTGCAAACCAGTCTTTGCTGGCAGATAACTCTCCGGTAAGAAGGTTGGTACTGCTGTGTGTGATCTGACCTGGTAATGCTGACTTCATACTGATAATCAGATTATCACACGTCTGTCAGAATCAACATCTCCAGATCAGTGGAAGCTGGTGGAGCAACAGGAAGGTATGAGAAACTGGAAGCAGTGTTTGTGTTTGTCTCAAAGTCATGAATAGTTCATGAACCGCCTGACATGATCGATGGTTCTGAGGGAACCTGTTCTGTCTTACAGACTACAGTATTTTGTCATCAGGAACATTTCATGTTGATTAGGTTGGACTGATTTGTTTTTATTTGTTTATTTTTCCTTTCTTCAGGTGTTCTTGAATCATTTTATTTACCTGAGTCCCTGTGTGTGCCAGTTTTAAAGAAACCCTCTTGCCAAAATGAAAAATGTAACTAAGGCTGTATCTGTTACCATCATGCTTACTTGCATCCTGCAGTGGTGCTGTGGTAGATTCTGTAGTAGAGATTTTTTAGTTTAAAGGCTGGTAAAGCTCCATTCCAATGATGTCTCTTGAAGGTGGGAGGAACTTTTAAAAAAGCATAAATGCTTTAATGTGGATTTTTGTGGGTGATTTTGAAATGTTGCTCCCCCCATTAGTTGGTGAAATGCGGAAGGGAGGCAGATAGCATACCGCTGAATACTTTATTACAGCCATATGACTGTAGTAACTGTCTTTAAATCATCATTACAGTGGAGAGAATGAATTACCTTAAATGACAGAAATGACTCATCAGATGAGGAGCACAACAAGCTAAAAGTTAGCTAGTTATCTAGATATCGTACCTCAGTTTGGCTTCTTTTCTCTGGCTTAAAGGGTAAAAAACATCCTTGGTGTCCATTTTCTGCTGAATAAAGACAAACCTAGTAGTGGGTTGAAATATTTCCTCAGATCAGAGATTTGTCAGAACTGTTACTCTGGTATTCCACAAATAAACACAAATAACGTGATGTACAAACAGTGCAAACCGCTCTAGCCAGGCCATTTAGCTGAATGACTGAGTTATGGATGGGTCAGTCATATTTCAAAAGAAAACCAGAACGCATCAACTCGATCCTGCTGTCTAGTCTGTTGTATGTTAAGTAGTCCACTTTGGCAGTGGACCTAAAGGAATGGCTGGTCTTTTGAGGTTAGCCATAGCCTAACATGGGCACCAGAGTGATTGCTTCTGTTTCCTCTTATGCCACCTGAGAAGCTGCCTTACTCAGTCAGCAACATCAGATGATGTCATGGTGAGCATGTGGTACAATAGACCAACTGGCACTACAGTGTGAATAACTGTAATGTTTTCCCAATTCCAGCAGTGTTTGATTTTCAGCAGAGGGATAAGTATATGGGCAAAAGCTGAAGTTGGCTTCTTGCTCGAATTTCCTGTTCTACCTTAAATGGTGCAACAGTTAGAATTCCAGTGCTAACATTTAAGGTGGAGTGGAAAATTCAAACAAAAAGTCCCCTTCAGCCTTGTGGAAATTCAGACAT